CTTCAGACCAACAGAGAAGAACATGTTCATTTAAGACAGTGGTATGAGAAGATGAGCCTTCCTCTAAGTTAAGCCATTCAGAGTACTGCAATTGACTGAATCCTACCGAGTCCTAGAGCCAGAACTAATCTAAAATTCAGGAGAACTTGGTTCTAGTCTAGACCCAGCTGATAGCCAGGGGTGACGCCTGGCTCAAACATGAGCACACACCTCAGAGCGTTATTTGAAAGAGATGGGTAAGAGAGGTGGGGGTCCTTCAGTTCTAATGTTCTTAGATTATCATTTGGTTATTGAAGGGATTGCATTAAAAAGTTCCAACACATTTGCCTTAGGTTATTGAATAACCAAAACATTGGTAAGCCAGACGTGGTGGCACATACCTGTAATCCCAGTGAAGTCAGGAGGCTAAGGCAGGAGGATTGCAAATTCAAGGCCAACCTGGCCTTTAGTGAGGCCCTATCTCAAGATTAAAATTAAAGTTCAATGGTAAAGCACTTCTAGGTTCAATCCCCGATATCCTACCCCCTCAGAAAAAGGAAAGGAAAAAAAAAAAGTGAGTCTCTATCTATTGTACCCTTTGTATTGCCTTGATGATTTCCTAATCTCTTTATAGATTTAATAGACTTACCCAAGGATTACTATAAGGCCTTTAAAGGGAGAGGACTAGATTTTAATGGCATTTTCAGAAAAGGAAAATAAGTAGGCAAAAAGATCTATGTGTCCTCCAACCCTACCCACCCCCTTCAGTATGTTCTATATGGATACTGGGACTTCTCCCTAAAGTAAGGTATTTTCTGGCTTCTATCTACCCTGACAATGTTCACTTTTATTAAATTAATACAAAGTGCCTGGAAGCCTGGCCTCTCCATCCTCCTAGTCAGGAATGCCAAAGAAGGAAAATAGTTGTTCTGTATTATGTTGACTCATTATTTGTTCTTCTTAATGAACATATTAGTTACATTCTTTGGGTATGCAAAGAAGAGTCTTGCCCAGGGTACTTTTGATAATGGAGGCATGCTAGTAGGCTAGGAGGAAAAAGGCTGGCATTCAATGGCTTTTCTTTCTTAGCATTGCAGCCAGATTGAGTGGAAATATCTGCAGCAGGTCACAAAAACCATCTGCTGTTTTGGGGGCTCAGCTTAGTTTAGTGGAGGATTTGATTGAGCAAAATTGGGTCTTTGTATCCTGGAGCTCAGGGATCAGGCAGTTTCGCGCTAGCCCCTCTGTGGTGTTTTCAGGCACTAACTACTGATCCTGAGCTCCACTGGTCGTGGCCGTGTTAGCATGGTGGTTCTCATCAGCTGCACACAGCAAAAACCACATTGTCCACCCTCAGAACTCTCTTCAGGGCTGCTCATATCAGAAAGGGGCCCGTGGATGTGGCAGCATCATGAAATGGTCTCTTTGGTACATGGAATCATTCTTCTAATAACTTTGAAAATCACAGCAGAGCAACAAGGAATACTACGAGAAGCAAACTTTTCTGAAAGTTAAGTGTATGAAAAAAAGCAAGGATTCACTCCCTCAGAGCAGCCTCTGCTGCAGGCCTCCCTTGAGTGTTTAACTCCCAGTGAATGTTTTATTGAGTAGCACAGTGGGTGGACTCTGGCCAAGCACAACATTGATGGGATCTTGGTCAGTTGGCTGTCTTTGAAGACAGGGGCCTTCCCTGTGCCAAGCCTAAGACTTCCACAGGAGCACACACTATATGGAAAAGGACCTCTGGCCGGGTGTTTCACTTTAACTTTTCTTTGATACTCAGTCCTACATCAGAATCACCTGATTCTGGCTCTGAATACTACATCAGAATCACCTGAAATGCTTGATACTACAGATTACAGAAAGGCCTCACCTCCTATATTCCTGAGCCTGAAGAGGTGGAACCCAGGAAGCAATAGTTCTTTTAGAAAAATTTTACCTGTGTATCTACACACACATCCACCCAAGATTTTTGTTCCTTGGAATAAGGAATAGCTGCATTTCCCCCTATTTCTCCTTCTAAATACAGATGAGGGTGAAAAGGACAGCAAAGCAAGGCAGAAAAACTTAGACAATAGCCACTCCTTCAGCCAAACAACACAGAAAAATCTGTCCCCCTTCCCTGCAAGGCTGCATGGCTGAGTGGAAACCTAGATACCCACCACTGCTGGGCTATCACAAGGGCCACCACCCCATTGGGTAGTGTCAAAGAAAGCTAAGAAGGATGCCAGGACTTTCATCCCTAGCAGCTGGTAATGAGTGTCTCACTCCCCTACCTCACCCCTATTCCTCATGTGCTGTGTCATTGGAGACAATATGGAGAACCTAGACTTCCACCACTTCTTAATTGGAATGAAGCTGAATGATAGTGCAGTAATGCATACAATCAGTACAGGATAGTTGAAGGTCAATAACAAAGTACTCCTTTGAACCAGAGTAGCAGTGGTGGGAGCCTGGTGGGGAGTTAGAACTGCAACCCACACCCAGCAGTATCAAGGAACCCTTTTTTCTCTCAGGTGTCAATAGAGGTCAAGTGGGAAACCTGAACTTAATTCTCTCCTGGCTGTGAAAATGTGGCATTCTCCTCTTTCCCCTGTTTGAGCAGTGTCCTAGTATGATAGTTAAACTAGAAAGTTTAAATGATACCTAGAGCTGAGTGTAGCAGCTCACACCTATAATCCCAGTGACTCTGGAGACTGAGGCCAGAGGTTGACAAGTTCAAGACAGACGAGCCTCAGCAACTTAGCAAGACCCTCTCTCAAAATCAAAAAATGAAAAAGAGCTGGGGAAATAGTTCAGTGATAGAGCACCCCAAGTTCAGTCTCCAGTAGCCCCCCATACACACACACTTATGTAGAGTCATAACACTCAGAAGGTTCAGGTTTCAGCTGAAGTCACTTGCCATACCATCAATGACAAAAACTTGAACTTTAGTGGGGAGAAAAAAGATAATAGATGCCAGCACCAGATGACAGAGATGTTAGAATAATCTGACAAAGATTTTAAGTAGCGATCATAAAAATGCTTTCATGAATAATTGCAAATACTCTTGAAACAAGTGAAAAATTATGATAAATCTGCCCTAAAATCCAATCATATTTTAAACATATCTTGCCATTTAAGTAACCCCTTTGATGAATAATTGTTTTGTTTAAAGTATGCATCTAAGCCAGAAATAGCTGCTACTTCAGGAGGGTCAGGCAGTTTGAGGTCAGCCTGGGAAACTTAGCAAGACCCTGTCACAAAATGAAAAATAAAAGGAACTGGGATATAGCTCAGTGGTAGAGCACCCCTGGGTTCAATCCCCAGTAACACTAGATAAGTAAATAAACAAGCACATATGCCAGTATCTGCTTTAACTCTGAAAAATTTTAGTCCATCAGTTGGAAACCAGCCTCCCTTGGGTGCCATTCAGGTCATAAATCAGGGAGCTAAAGAGGCTGTAAATCAATCTGTGGGGTCAAGAGTGGTGTCATGACTGGAATAGAGATCAGAATATGTCTCTGTTAAATGCCAGTCAGACCATATGTGAATCAGTGAGAGATGTTTTAGAGCATCAGATTTTGAGGGGAATACTGGCCAGTACATAGTGTATACAAAAAGAAGGCGACTCTGATAGAAGTCTGGGAAACATGTCATGGGAGGGGTGATCACAAAAAAGTTTATAAATTGATTGATTGGGGGTACTGGGGATGTAACCCAGAAGTGCTCTGCCACTGATCCATGTCCCCAGCTCTTTTTATTCTTATTTTGAGACAGGGTCTCACTAAGTTGCCAAGACTGGCCTTGAATAGGCCTATGATCCTCCTGCCTCAGCCTTCTGAGTAGCTGGGATTACAGGTGTGCATCACTCTCTGCTGGGCAGAGTTGGTTGATAGTGAATGTAAAGCAGTCTAAATTCACCTCATTTGATGGATTGATGTTGAATGAAAATTAAGATTAAATGGTGTGTGTGTGTGTGTGTGTGTGTGTGTGTGTGTGAACATGTATGTATGTGTGTGACATATGCCAGGTGTGTATAATGTTGTGTTTGGGAAAAGTTCCTGAGATAATGCTTTTTCCTAATGTCACTCTAAGGGCCTGGACATAGTCTCCCCTGGTCTTCTGGACAATCTCTAAACTTTAATATGTTTAGAGAAGTCACTCTGTGCATTCTATCTGAGAAATCCACTTACCAAATGTACTAGCTAAAGTATCCAATATATACTTCCTTACTCTCCCTCTTCTCTTGACTGTCTTCAATAGATGAGTGATGATGATAATGATGATGATGATGATGATGATGATGATGATGATGATGATGATGATTGTTGGTACTAGGGTTTCAATCCAAGGACACCAAGCACTCTACCATTGAGCTACATCTTTTTTATTTTTTTATTTTGAGATAGGTTCTCACTAAGTTGCCAAAGATGGCCTGGAACTTGCAGTTAGCCTCCCAGTTAGCTTGTGGGGGGCGAGGAGGGAGGAGAGGGAGTTGGGGGGGAGGGGAGACAGTTGGGGGGGTGGTCTCCATGTGTTCATAGTAAGTTAGGACCACAGCTGAATGACTATTAAATGTACTAGTTAACTCACTTGGAGGCTTTTTTCCCCCTTTCCCTTTTAATTAAAGAGAGGGTGGATTACATTTCATTTGCATATGATTGCCTCCTCCACACATTTTATTTTACTCTCTTCTTCTTTTCATTCCTCTTCTCCCACCTCCTTGGAGTGATATGTGGTCTTTTTTTTTCTTGCAATTTCTCTAAGAAATTTTTATTTAGAGTCTGCCTGTGGTCCCCTGAGGCCTCCTTGGCTCCTGCTTGTGCTCTCTGCCAGGGAGAGACACTCTCCTGAAGTGCTTGTGAGGGAAACTGATCAGACACATGACATTTTCCCCTTGCCCTTTTGGAGCAATCAGCTCTGGGCCTCTTAGAGGGAAAAAGGCCAGAAGCAAGATGCATGTGTTTGCATAAGCATTAGTAGTTCAACGTGTGCCCTGGTTCTATAGCTGAGGACAAGCCTAACTTATTCATTTACAGCTTCTTTTATTGCAGAAAAAGGAGTGGACGTGGGATGAGAGCAAGATGCTGGTGATGCAGGACCCCATCTACAGGTAAGAGCCCAGTCCAAAGCTCAGGAGGATGCAGAGCCCCAGGGTCTCCCTGCCATCTCCTGGAGCCATCTGTTAGGCTGGTGGGTCTAGACAGATTGAAATAAACTTTTATTACTTTTCCCTTATGAGATCTGCTGTCTCTGTAAATGTAAGTATAAGAAATAAATCTGCCTTATCTTTAGGATGGAAAGTTTTTCTGATTGTATTAAATTGTATTAAGGGAGCTGTGAAGGATTTCTTCTTGTTTTTTAATCTAGATCTCTCCGTTATAATCAGAGACCCTTTAAATTTGTGCTAGTTTTATCCTAACTGAAATTTTGTAATTGCTTACATGTTGATTATGATAAAATGAGATTACAGGGTTATCCCATCCCCCTGTGCTCTCAGTTTCCCACCGTGTTCTCTTCTTTCTGTCCCTTTAGAAACTGAGCCTAGATAAAGGACTTGAGATCACTTAGGAAAGCAGAAAATTAAAAATATAATTTCTGGGTGTTTATCTTATTCTCTAAATTCATGTGTTGAAATCTTTACTCACAAGGTAAGGCTTCAGGTGGTTAGACACTTCAGAGGTGATTAGGTCATGAAGGTGGAGCCCTCATATTTAAGATTAGTGCCCTCATAAAAGAAGCTCCAGACAGCTGACTTGCCCTTTTCACCATGTGAGGACACATCTGTGAACCAGAAAGTAGGCCTTCAGCAGACACTGGATCTACCAGTACCTTAATCTTGGACTCCCCAGTCCCCAGAACAATAAGAAAGAAATTTTTATTGTTTTGAGCCACCTGGTTTGTGATATTTCATTATAGTAGATTGAATGGATACATACCCAGAAATTCCTTTCACAATGAGATTTGTATGAATTCTTTTTTTTTTTTTTTTTGGTGCTGAGGATTGAACTGCAAAGCATTTTACTACTGACCTATATGCCAGCCCATCAAAAAAAAAAAAAAAAAAAAACCCTTTTTTTTTTTTTTTTAATTTTGAGACAGACTCTTGCTAAGTTGCTTATAGTCTAGCTGTATTGCTGAGGCTGGCTTTGAACTTGTAATCCTTATGCCTCAGCCTCCCACATTACTGGGGTTACCGAAATGTGCCACCATGCCTGGCTGTGACTATTATAATTCCTATAGAGATTAGATGGCTACCATTCATATGTATTCTATGTCAGAAGAATACCAGACAGCAGTAACATACAGAAAGTCAGGACTGTTCTGGGATTCAGGGCAGGATCTCGGAACCTGGGTGTTATTCTTCTGCACTGGATCTCTGCAGACCAACACCCCCCCACCCCTACCCCCACCCCCGCCCCCGATTAAACTCTTGCCTCCTTCCTGTTTTTTATTTTTTTATGGTGCTAGGGATTGAACCTAGGGCCTTGCACATGCTAGGCAAGCACTCTACCATCCTTCTTCCTGTTTGAGGGGAGAGTGGCCATTTCTTTGGAAATTGGCAAACCTAGACTTAGCTTCTCCTTTTGGCTCCTCTCAGATTACTACCATGACTTTGTTGACAAAATAGGTAAGGTTTGGAACTCAACTGTGAAGATGGCAAAATGGGTGACCTTGCCTTCTAGTTGAAGAGTAGGTGAAAGAATTTCTATTCATTTGAAAAATATATTTGTGTGAAAGACTTACACCAGGTACTATGCTGGGTAATTAAGGCACGGGCCCTTGTTCTCAGGAAGTTTTATTCCAGTAGGTAAATGTACTCTGAATAAATCACTGTGGTATAAGATGTTGCATCTGACAAAGTAAAATTCTTCCTCTATGTTCCTGTTGTACTTTTTTTTTCTCTCTCTCTCAGTTCTGAACTACACTCTACCACTGAACTACATCCCCAGCCCTTTTTATTATTTATTTTAAGACAGGATCTCACTAAGTTGCTTAGGGTCTCACTAAGTTCCCCAGGTTGGCCTTGAATTTGTGCTCCTCCTGCCTCAGCCTCCTGCATTTCTTGGATTACAGTCTTACATCATTGCACCTGGTTCCTATTGTACTTTTCAATGTTTCTTAAAATAACTTTATTGTATGTTATGGTTTAGATGTGAGATACCACCCAAAAGTTCATGTGTGAAACAATGTAAGAAGGTTCAAAGGTGAGATGATTAGAATAGAGCAGCTTTGACCTAATCAGTGGAGTAATCCACTGATGCATTAACTGGGTGTTATCTGTAGGTAGGTAGTGTGGCTGAAGGAAGTTGATCACTGATGATGTGCCTTTGGGGTTTATATTTTGTCCCAGGTCAATGGAGCTCTGCTTTGCTTCCTGATTACCATGTCCTGAGCTGCTTACCTCTGCCATGCCCTACCATCACAATTTTCTGCCTCAACTTGGGCCCAGAGGAATGGGGTTAGTTGACCATAGACTGAACCTCTGAAACTGAGTCAAAATAAACTTGATCTCCTTTAAATTATTCTTGCCAGGTCTTTTGGCCACAGTGGTGCAGGAGCTGAATAAAACAGTATATTACTGTTACTTACTTATTTAAAATGTCACTCTTGCCACTAGACTATGAGGCTTTTGAAGGGAAGAACTATGTACTTTTCACTTTTGCATATCTAGTATTAAGCTCATACTGGATCATATGAGATACTTAATAAATGTGTAATGGGTGGGTGGATAGATGCCTTGAATTAATGTCTGAAAATTACCGTGAGTGGTATAGTGATTCACAAAAGAGAACAATTACTTTCTACTTGAGTGATGAGAAAAGGCTTTAAGAAACAGATTGCATGAGAACTGGGCTTGAAGAATGGAAATAGACAAATCTCTATCTTTTGAATTTTGTAAAAAACTTTCTTGGTTTTTGTTTTTATTTTTCATCGTGCCACCATATATATAAATAAATGACCTCTTTGTATATGCTGGTCATAAGTTGAATTTTTCTTGTCTCTGATTGAGAGAAAAGACTTTTCCAGTTTTTATCAATCCCAAACAAGTTGCTTACTTTATTTTTTAAGCGGCTTTATTGAGGTATACTTGGCATACAAAATCAAATATCTTTAAATGAATAATTTCTTAAGCTTTGATGTATGCACACCTGTGAGACTGTCACCTCAATCGAAACGGTGAGCATTTCTGTTACCTCCAAAAGTTTCCTTGTGTCCTTTTGCAATCCTTCTTTCCCATCCTTCCACAATCTACCCCTTTCTAAACCTCATATCCTATTATTGAATTTTGAGTCTTTTGTAAGCTCTGAATATAACCTTTGTCATATTTATGACTTACAAACCTTTTCTCCAAGTCTTGCTTGTCTTTTCTTTTAATAGTGTCTTTTGAAGAGCAAGTGTTTTACATTTTGATTAAGTCCATTTTATCAGTTTTTTAAAAAAATGGATTGTGCTTTTGTCATATCTAAGAAGTCTTTACCTGGCTCAAGGTCACAAGTATTTTCTGTTTTCATCTAGAAGTGTGATAGTTCTAGCTTTTATGTTTAGGTGTATGCTACAATTTGATTATTTTTTTTTACATGATGTGAGAGTAGATCAAAATTGCCCTTCCTCCTGTCCCACATCCCTACCTCAGCCACCACCAGTGAAGGTCCACTTCCAGCCTCATTTGTTGAAAAAGTGTTCTTTCTCCACTGAAATGCTTTCACATCTGTTAAAAATCCATTAGTTATACTTGTATGGTCAAATTGTATTGCCTAGCATATGCTACACAAGTGCTGTACCGCTAAGCTACATCCCCAGCCCTATCTATCCACTTACAAAAAGAAATATGTATTTTTAAGGAGGAATACATCAAAGACAACTTTAAATATATTTTTCTTTGGTCCTCAGACTCACACAGCAGGTGCTCTGGTTACAGATGTCTTGTGAATGTCTTTTTATAATAAATCAAAATTTACCAACTTACGTTTGTGAATAAAGAAATGAACTTTAACCAGTATATTTTCAGTCTTCAGGTGTTTTTTTTCCTCCAGGTATTAAATTGTAGTGTTTTTGTGTATATACATGTGAACTTGTATATTTATGTGTATGAGTAGACAAAAAGAAACTTTTTTCTTAAACTATATATGTTCCATTTTATTAATGAGAACATTTATCATCTTGATAATATGGTAACATTTATAAATGAACTTTTCCTCAGTATGGTTATTTTTCTGCCCTTAAGGAACATCTCTGGTTTGATTTAGCAGTGGTTCTGAGGGACACAAAATTGCTTATGTTTTTTAATAACACACTGGATTTCTGAAGTGTTCACTTTAGTCAAATTCCTCTATGGTAAATCCATTCTTCCTATTCAAAGAAATGCTTTTTTTTCCACGTCACTAATGAAGATTTGGGTTTTATTAAGTCAAATTTTACATTTAAATCTTCCTCATTCCCCACCTGGAATAATAGAATTGTGGATTTTTTTAGGGGGGTGGGAGTACTGGGGGTTGAACTATTTACCACTGAGCTACATCCCTAACCCTTTTTATTTTTTTGTTTTGAGATAGGGTCTTTCTAAGATGCCTATGTTGGTCTTGAACTTATGTTCCTCCTGCCTCAACCTCCTAATTTTCTAGGCATGCACCACTACACCCAGCAATTATGGATTTTTCATTGTGTTCACACACAAACACACAAAACATACAATTTTCCATTTTAACAATTTTTAGTGTACAAATCAGTGGTGTTCATTTCATTCATCAACTAGTACAACCATCAGTATTATCTGTTTTCAATACTTCTTCACTCCAAACAGAAATTCTGGACCAATTAAGAAATAACTCCCCAACATCCCCCTTCTCCCAGCCTCTGATAACTTCTAAAATCATGAAATTTTAAGAGGATAATAGCACTATGGTGCTCATGTGGGCCATTTTCCCCTCCATTACAGGATACTCTATTTCTCTGAAATTATTTGCTATTGCAGTGTTCTTCATTAAGTGAAATCATATTTTTTTAATTATATAATTGTTTTCCATTTATTCTAGTTTTTAGCTCTAGGACTACAAATATGTACATCTTATTTTTATTTCCTTTCAGTCAACCTAAGGTCCTGAACCCTTT